AGCGTGAAATGCGTATCGATTCTGAGAATTTTCACGTCTGTTGCAATGACCTAAGTCTCGCTTGCAGGTCTAATGAAGTGAAGCAAACTTGGAGGTTTTCTTCTTAGGAGTTGTTGTGCTCAATTGCATTGTTGTTGCCACGGGAAATGAGGTGCTTCGTGGTAAGATGAGAGAAGGTAGATAACTGGATGAATCCAAGGAACGTGAGTGAGACTCGTAATTTCTTGGGACCAACCATCCACTACCGAAAGTGATTCGAGCTCGCTTAGGACATAACGCTCAATTAGTTACCATGCGAGAAGAACTAATGAGGCGGCCGACACTTATAGTCGGAAGAGTCAAGATGAGCTAGTCTGTATAAACTTCTTAGAGAGGACTGTTGATTCGAGATGCTTGCTGAAGTTGAGAATCGGGAACGACTCTATTTCGGTGATTTTGGATCGATTCACGAAGTCTGCCCACTTTTTGCCAGTCAGGATGACTATGAAGGCTAGTGAGTATGCCGAGTTGTTCGCAGATGAGATTGTTCGACTTTATGGGGTGCCCGTGGAAATTGTATCCGATTGAGACCGAAGTTCACCGGTCAATTATGGAAAAGTTTGCACCGAGCCATGGGGACCAGGTTGGAGTTTAGCACAACCTATCACCCCGAGACATATTGTGAAGCCCCGTTTGTTTACTAGATTTTTCAAAATATTATTTATTGCTAATATTATATTTAAATGGAATAATTTTCTAATTGTATTAATTGCTTAATTTTTATATAATATATTTTGTGATATATGTATATATATATATATATGTCGGTTAATTTATTTTATCGTCGTGCGTACGAACCGAACTTCCAATTTAATTGTCAAACAGAGATGAGAACTGGCTCGTGCGCCGTGAACCCGCGCCCCAAACCCGGCCCCCTTGTGTTTTCTTGTTTAGAAAGTTGAATTTTTAACCTAGCATTATATATGCAAGTGAATCCTTCCCTTCATTCTCCTTCACGCCGCAAATCCCCAGCCCTCACGTATATCTCTCTCGATTGCATACAGAAACGAGAAAAACACTCTCCCCCATTTTAAAATCGATCATTGCTCTCATATCTCTCCTTCTATCTCGCTCGTTCGCTGTTAGTAAAAAAAGATAGAAATCGCATACCTTCTTCTCCAGCGAGGCCATCCTCTGCCTAAAATCCGCCTACCGTCGAACCTCCTCCTTCAGCAGCCATCCATCGCCGGAGTTTATAGCAGCGACAACCCCTCGCGACCAGCGGGAAACCATCACCGAGGTGCAGGGAGCAGTGAGCGTCGACGGCACCTTTTTTCCCGTCGGGTTCCGTTCACAGCCCTTGCCAGCGTAGTACAGAGTGACCGGCGAACTTGTTTCAAGCAGTCGAGCCCGTTTTTAATTTTCAGACTCCGTCGAGTCTCCCTCAGGAATCCCAGCGGCCTTATGTGAAAATAGAATGCCAGTGCACTATGTGGACTATGTGTACTTGTACTAGGTTGTATAATACCCTTTTCGAACATCTTAGTAGTTTTTTCTTGAAATTCTTTAACATCTCTTTCTGTATATGGTATTTGTTTGGCACATTGACTTCTTTGTTAGGATCTATCAACTCTATCTTTACTATCATGTTATTCGTGTTTTTATTTGGATCTAATGGATTTTGACTACATATTTTTTTAATAACTGATTAACGTGTTCTTCTAAAGAATGAAACTTTTCTTAATATCTCCCCCGTTATGAAAGAAGACATATTGTATATTTTTTGTTGTAATTATTTTACTAGATTGTGTGTCTAGTTGTGGACATCTAAGACTTATGCGGTTTAATCTTTGAATAAATGAACTGTATAAATTAAGAAAATTATTTTAAATTATCAACGGTAAACCTGTATTTTGTTTATAAAGACTTGTTAAAGGAAATCGTTTCTCTTTCTATTAACAATACTAAATCTGTTGCTCTATATTCAATACTTATTGTCTTATTATTGCCATTCTCATTATAACTAGTTTGTCTAATTTTTTCCAATATTTACTGGGTAATATAGATTCTTTTGCTAGACATATTGTTGCTCTCGTGTCTATATACGCTAATAAGAATATGTTAATAATTTAACTTTTATAAATGAATTGTTTTTACTCATCTCTTGATTCTGATAATTCTAAATCACTATCTGTTTCTGATTCTAAATCGTGTATATCAAAGTCTAATAACTCTCCTTCTTCATATTCTTCTTCTATAGGTTCATAACCTAAAGAAAATATCATTTTTAACTTTCTTTTTCTGGTATGGGTTTAGGACATTCATTTGCGTAGTGTCCTATTCCTTAACATTTCCAACATCTGCAATTCTTTTTCCTTTGGGACAATATTTGGGTTTCCTAAGTATTTTTCTTGTTTTCTAAACTTTTCTTTGTTTTTTGGTTTCCACAGTTTTCTAAATGTCTTATATCTTCTTGGTCTATATCGTCTGTTAAACTTATTTTATTTATAATTTCTTTTCATTCTATATGGTTCATAACAACCAAATTCTTGTGATACACTTTCTAATTGTTTACAATATCTTGAATCGACTTTAGTCATTTCATGGTGTTCTATTTCCCTTATACAAGGTTCAGCTTTACATTCTTTCGCATATTTTTCTAAAACTCCTAGAGTTTTTCTTCTCTTGTTTAATTAATTATCTTCCGAATATATTTATTCATTTCATATATAAGTTTACTTTCAACTATATCTATTAATCCTGATCGATCCTTAAATTTATAAAAAAAAATCTCTTACTTGACAGAAGAAATTTTCGATGTAACATATGTTGCATAACTTCATGTTAGTTAGAAATCTAACTACCTTATATTTTTGTGTTTCTTTTGATTCTTGCCCTGTAATTCCTAAGAATTCTCTTAGTAAGTCTTTTGCTAATTCTCTTAAAGCTGCTATCTTATATTCTCCTCATGTTTCTGAACCACTGGCTTCAAGAATAAATAGGATTCGAGTATTTTCTAGATAGTCAAAAAATACTCCTGATGTTTTATATCTTATGTAATTGACAAAATACGTTAATGTCATTTCATTCATCATTGAATCATTAGTTTGAACTAATAATTTTAATTAGTTAGTCCAAGTGACTATTAAATCTTCTGCATTGATTGCACAATCTATATTTAATATTCAATTAGATAAATTTCTTTCTTTTTCTAAATATGCTGGTGGTATATTTTTCTATATTTTTTCTTGATGATAACTATAATCATTTCTGTATATAAAATCTCTAAAACTTCTCTCTATATAACTTGATATGGGATATTATACCTAGACGGATAGATCGGCTCCTTGGACCGGTCGAGCAGATCGGGAAGTGAAGGGGAACCATGCTGGGTCGCAATATCGAGCCAAGAGGGTAGTGCTAAATACAACTAAGGAGAGTGGATGAAGGCCTAAGCACGAGCAATGGGGAGATCTAACTGATACGCGAGGAGCTCGAGCAGAAGATTGTCTGAAAGGCTACAAACCTGGTCGAAGGTAACTCGAGGATAATCTAGTGGTCGACCTAGTCGAAGATAAAAGAAAACTTAGGGAGTTGACTCGGATAAGGTCAAAGTATGATGAGCCTATAATAGAATTGCAGAGGTGTCAGTGGAACGTCAGCAGATCGCGAGGGAATATTTTATCCCATTTGCGGAGGACACGTGGCGCGAAGATATTGGTGCAGAGGATAGTGGCGACGACTACCTCTGACACGCGCATACACGTGTATACGGACGGGCAGTTGGGGCAGACAGCTCAAAGACCCGGGCATCTCCTAGGGCAGGTATCTTACCCCTATATATATGGGGTGAGTCTTTCTTGCTCGACACGATCATTCTATTTTCACTCTTGAGAATTGATTGAACAAACACTAACTTAAGCTTTGGAGGCTCTTCACTGGAAAACCCCTCCGGTGTGAGAGATCTTTGTAGGTGCACGACGTTCAACCAGTGAGAAGGAAGGGGACTACTCGGATTCCAGCCGGTCGGAGAGTTTTGTGTTATCATTTGGCGCTGTATGTGGGACTTTTATTAAAAAAGCGGAGTTCTGAGTCAACTTACAGCCGTCGTTCGATGAAGCTTGGACGACGACAAGGCCGTTGGGGCATGGCCCTCCTCTGGGTTTTTTTGGCCCTTCGCGAACACCAGTCACTCCCACGTCTGCTCCTCAAGGTGTGTACGTGTCATCGACGGTTCTCGGAGGAGACGTGGACTGCAGTCGTGCCCATGGGGCTCGTGCAGCACTCGCGGCGGCGATGCCACCGCCGCCACAGCCAAATCCAGTGGGAGTGCAGCCAGTAGGACCGGTGATGCAGGGAGGAGCACCACTGCCAACGGAAGAGCAACACCTTGGTCAGCAGGTAGTGATGACTAGGCAGGAGATGCAGCAGATAGTGGTGGATGCGGCTGCACAGGTGGTGCAACAGGTCACAAACAGCCTTCCTCGAGCAACCACCGCGCCGACCACGGTGGCGGGAACTCACCAGAACACGGAGAAGGGCGTATCTAGTTATAGAGGAGGTGGGGCCCCACAAGACCGAGAGATGGAGAGGATTGCAGAATAGCTGCATCAATTGCAGGCTAAGGTGGATGGTCGAATGGAGAGACGCGCTCGAGAACATCCGTTCTCGAGGGACATACTGGTTGCGCCCTTGCCAGCTAATTTCAGGTATACAAATTTGGTGTTCGATGGGACATATGACCCGTCGAGGCATGTGAAACATTTGAGAATATGGCTTTGTTGCATGGATTTACTAACCCCGTTAGCTGCAGGGCATTCTTATCGACCTTGAGGGGAGGCGCACTTGATTGGTTCCAACAGCTCCCCCCGGGGTCGATCGCAGACTTCGAGGATTTTGCTAAGAAGCTTATAGAACAGTATTCGTGTGCGGTGGCCTAGAAGAAAACGTACTTGACCCTCATGGCGATGAGGCAGGGCGTGAAGGAGTCGCTGCGCAAATATGTAGCCTGATACAATCAGGCTTGCTTAGAGATCCCGTCGGCGGTCGATGAAGTCAAAGCGAGAGGAGTGATCAGGAGCTTACGAGCGGGGCCGTGTCAGACTTCTTTGGAAAAAATCTCGGCCTGTAATTATGACGAGGTGTTACAGAGGTGCAGGAAGTATATTAACCTCGAGGAGATGGAGGTGGAGTTTGCCAAACAGGAGGAATTAGCTCGACCAGAATCGAAGAAGGAGAAGCCAAATTCGCCAAAGATGAGGTTGCCCAGGAGGGAGGGGCGAGCTAGGCAGGATCGAGGGCGTGAGGATAGGTGGAAGGATCGACCCATTGTTGGAGGAAAAAGGTTCCATGGTTACACCCCGTTGAACGCGAAAGTTGCTGAGGTGTTGGTGGCTATGGAGAAGGATATTAGTGCGAGAGATGTAACATGGCCCAGGTCGAGGTTTGAGGGGCCAACTCAGCCAAAGTCGAGGAGGTATTGTCGATTCCACAAGGATTATGGTCATACCACGGAGGATTGCCGACACTTAAGGATGAGATCGAGCGCCTTGTTCGGGTTGGGCATCTCAAAGAGTTTGTTTATCACGATAAGGTGAAGGGGAAAGAAAAGAGGAGGGTTCGGGAGGAGTCCGTAGAGAGGAGTGACAAAGATGATGATGAGGAGGATGATGCTTGAGGGGGTCGAAGGGGTGATGATGGAAAGAGAAGGCGAGTAAATGGATATCGGGGGAGGCAAGAGGATATGGGCCAGGTGAAGAGAGGAACGATATACATGATTTCGGGGGGACCGACGGATGGGGACTCGAACAATGCCAGAAGGGGACATTTTCGAGCGGTGAAGAGGAAGAGAGAAGAAGTGGGTATTACGGCTCGAGTACCGGAGATTAGTTTTCGGGCGGAGGATGCAGAAGTGGTGGTGTTACCCCATAATGATGCTCTGGTGATTACTGCCGAGGTTGCTGGGTATGATGTCAAAAGGGTATTTATTGACATGGGGAGTTCAGTCGATGTTATGTTCTATGATTGCTCTGTGCAAATTAATCGGGAGTTGAACATGGAGCTGGAGCCAGTGGGCACGACTTTATATGGTTTTAATGGGGGTGAAGTGATGCCAATGGAAGAGGTGAGTCTATCGGTTGTCATAGGGAAGGGGGAAACGAGGAAAGTTAGGATGGTGAGATTTGTTGTGGTTGGGGAAGAATCATTATACAACATCATCATGATGAGGACAAGTTTAAACACGTTCTAGTCGGTCGTGTCAACATACCTCATGACGATCAAGTATCCTGTGGGCGAAAATGTTGGCGAGGTCGCAGGGGATCAGCTCACGTCGAGGAGCTGCTACCAGACCACGGTCAGTAACAACAGACAATTGGCGAAGAGGTAGTTGAGAGTGGGGGATGAAAAGCTGAGTCGACCTGGGGGATCGAGGTCGAAGGAGGAAAAGGCGATGCTAGATAAGGGCAAGGAGAAAAAAGAAATGCAACCAGAAGAAGAGATTTAGGAGGTTCAGATGGTGAAAGGCAGTGAGGAGAGAAGGTTTAGGATTGGGGGAAAGTTGGAGGAGCCCATGAGATCGAAATTGATTGGGCTGATAAGGGAGTTTGCAGATATCTTTGCCTATACTGCGGAAGAGTTGACAGGCATCAGCACGGAGGTGATTGAAAGTCGATTGAATATCGACCTCACGATTAGGCCGGTAAAACAAAAGAGGAGGCACCACGGCGCAAAGATGGACAAGATAATCGAGCAGAAGGTGGAAAAATTGCTGAGGGCGGGCCATATAGAGGAAATCCAATTCCCGCAATGGCTATCTATTATGATGATGGTTTCAAAGTCAGAAGAAAAGTGGAGAATGTGTATAGATTTCCGAGATCTGAACAAGGCATGCCCGAAGGATTTATATCCATTGCCAAGAAACGACCAGCTCGTCGAGTCCACTACTGGTGTGAGTTACACAGCCTGATGGATGCGTCGTAGGGCTAGCATCAGATCTCTTTGGCGCAGGAGAAACGGAAGAGGGTTAGTTTCGTGACGAGCAGAGGAACTTACTGCTATGTGGTGATGCCATTCGGCCTGAAATGCGGGGCCAAACTATCAAAGGCTGGTCGACAAAATTTTTAAAGATCAGCTGGGGCGAAACATGGAAGTTTATGTGGACGATATGTTGGTGAAAGTAAGAGGGAAGTCGAACCATGTGAGAAATCTGAAGGAGACTTTCCAGACATTAAGGAGATATGGTATGAAGTTGAATCTCGCTAAGTGTTCCTTTGGAGTCAAGTCTGGAAAATTCCTGGGGTACATGGTAACAAGGAGGGGGATCAAGGTGAACCCGGAGAAGGTGCGGGCAGTGATTGAAATGAGTCCCTCTACGAAGGTAAAAGAGGTTCAGATCCTGACAGGTCGAATTGCGGGATTGAGCCATTTCATTTCAAAGGTGGCGGAAGCAAGGCCGTGCAATAGTGGACAAGTGGAAAATACATGGAAGGGAGAGGGGAACACGCGCAAAATGATCGATAGATAAAGAAAGAGAGAATGACAAGATGAAGGCAACTAACTTTCACTCATAGATCGAGTCATTTAGACTCGACCAGAGTGGGGGGGACTAGATGATATGGGATATTATACCTAGACGGATGGACCGGCTCCTTCGACCGGTCGAGCAGATCGGGAAGTGAAGGAGAACCATGGTGGGTCGCGATATCCAGCCAAGAGGGTAGTGCTAAATACCACTAAGGAGAGGGGATGAAGGCCTAAGCACGAACAATGGGGAGATTTAACTGACACGCGAGGAGCTCGAGCAGAAGATCGTCTGAAAGGCAACAAACCTGGTCGAAGGTAACTCGAGGATAATCTAGTGGTCGACTTTGTCGAAGATAAGAGAAAACTTAGGGAGTTGACTCGGATAAGGTCAAAGTACGATGAGCCTCTAACGGAATTACAGAGGTGTTAGTGGGACGTCAGCAGATCGCGTGGGAATATTTTATCCCATGTGCGGAGGACACGTGGCGCGAAGATGGTGCAGAGGATAGTGGCGACGGCTACCTCTGACACACGCACACTGCATGTGTATGGACGGGCAGTTGGGGCAGACAG